TGGTTCTCATCCTCTCTGCAGCAAGGCCCTCCCATCTGCTCTACCTCTCTTCTCCTGTCCTCTGCCTCTCTTCTACTGTTCTTATTGATCTTTGAACTCTTTACATTCCCGYTGTCGTCATATCGTGGCAATGTCTTTCATTTTCCTCATTTTCGTACGGCCATGACACACTGGCTTCGCTGCAGTGCACAACACTACATGGAGCGAAGCCAGTGTGTTATGGCCGTGCGAAAATGATGACAATGAGAGACATTGCCACGATATGACGACAGCGGGAATGTAAAGAGTCCAAAGATCAATAAGAACAGTAGAACAGAGGCAGAGAACAGGAGAATAGAGGCAGAGCAGATGGAGAATSAAGRGTTTTGGMRAGAGACTAAGGGCCTTGCTGCAGAGAGGATGAGAACCATGCACCGTAGACAATGATAAAGATACCAAATGATCGATGATGGGCCATCATCAATCCTCGCTCCATTACTCGACAMTCKTAAACTCATTTGGACGCCTTTCTGGWTYAATATTTGGAGTCCAAAAATTGGAATGCATCGGACCGATTGGGGTCCAGATACGACACTCGATATCCCGGATTCAAAGATAAACAAGGAGGCGACAAAGAAGAGGAGATGAGAGGATAGGAGAGAAATAACCCCCATCCGCTCCAGAACAGAGGATAGGAGAGAAATAACCCCCATCACCTCTGTTCTGGCGAGAAAAAAAAGGCAAAGAGACAAGCAGCAAGATAATCCATTGGAGCTGCAACCACGTCAGCATCATCAGTTGAAGATTGGGAATGTCGCCCGAGGATCGCCAGGTTCGTCAGCAGGATTGCTTGGTCCCACTGCCGCCGCGGTGCAAGCTGGCTCCATATACATGATACAGAACACGTAAAACCCCACAACCTTAAAACACAATTTTGTAGACAAGCTACCTTCTTCCCCCGAATACAACGTACGGTCATTATAGTTGTATTTGGGGCATCTTTCAGTCTAAATACCGCTATAATGACCGTACGTTGTATTCGAGGGAAAAAGGTAGGCTCTTTGGCCAAGAACCTACTACTCAAGCTGAAAAGACGGGGAACAGGAGAGAGGCGAAAGGAAACCCAAGTCCCAAGCTCGCCCGATTTCATAACCTCACATTCTTCCGATAAGCTTTCCTGCACCGTTTCCAAAATCACACCTGGGGACCAACGGTACCAACGGGACTACCTCATCAGTTGGCACACCCATGAACTGTTGAAATACAGACCCAAGTTCGAATCYAGACGCAAGCAGATYYGACCAAAATAAATGCGAAACAAAATGGAAAGGGTTTAAGAGGCAAACGRACAGACAAGAAAGTGCYGAGACACTGCAAAGAATAAMTCTGAAGARCGWTATTTCGAGATTACCTATTCGAATACACAAGCACGTGCAACCACRCACCTGGACCATTCAGCTGGGAAAGTGCATGTATATTCTCTCAAAATCGCAACCACCAACCCCATCAAAACAACAAGGCCCTCCCATTAAGGGACAGAAAACGAAGGGATAAAGGAGCGACGGGATAGGGAGAGAAAAGCAAAGGGACAAGCGAGGACAGGGGCAGCGAAATAGAAGATCAGGTAAGCAACGGACAGAGAAGCAAAGGGGCAGCGAAACAGGATCAGGGAAGCAAAGGGCGAGAGCACAGGGAGAGATGAAGAGAGAATTTAACGAATGGAGGGAGATAGTAGCGAAGAGAAACGGTAGCAAAGGGTAGCAGAGGGAGAGGGAGGCAAAAGGGAGAGAGAGGGTAGCAAAGGGAACAAGAACATCGAACCAGGGACAACGACAGAAAAGGAGACCGATCACACCGAGAAAAATGTGAGAAGAATAAAGAACAAAAAAAAAACACCAAAACACTTAGTCCTTCATTTTCTCCCGCCATCTGCAACCTGCTGGCATCTTCTCCCTGCCCCACCCCGATCTCGTCCTTGTTGCTATGTCCTACCTGCTGCCATCTTCTCCCGGTCTGCAACCTTTTTTTTTTTTTTTTTTTTCCTTTTGGGGGGGGGGGGGGACAAATGCTCCACTCTATTCGTGGGGAGCCTGCCCCCAACCCGCTGCCATCTTCTCCCTTCGCGATTCGCCCTGTTCTTCCTTCCTCGTCCTCGATCTCTCTCTTCTCCATCACTCTCCTCTGCCATCATTTCCTMCCTGRCCTCCTACCATATTCTMCCGTTGCTCTGCCGTCATCTCTTCCCCGTGTCGATTCTTCCTGCTATCGTTATCTCCAACCTCGGAYGATATTTTCCCGTCGTCATCTCCAGCCTGTCCTCTYGTCATCTTCTTTCTCCCTCAATCTCCTCCCTGCTGCGATGTTGTACATGCCGYGATCTCCTACCTCCTACTTTCATTTCCTCCTGCTGTTCTCTCTCCTCTACCATCATCTTCTTCGGGTGCCGATTTTCTTGCTGCTGATTATGCCATCTTCTTCCTGCCTCCATCTCTCGCTGCTCCCACCATATTCTCCTGCTGCCATCTCCGACCTCTCCTTCCCCCATCTGCAAAACCAGCCTATGTGGCTGAATGGTAACACCCATGGAACTGTTGATAAACAGATCTAAGTTCAGATCCCGACGGGGATCAGATGAACGAAGTAACTCTGAATCAGTTGGGGCTGGTCAGCTGGCGTGTGGTC